AAAGTAATAGAGGAGTTAATGTCTCACATTATAGTTAGGCTTGCTGCCCCAAAACCTCTTAACCCTGCACTTGACCAGCTTGATGAAGTATGGCGCCCGGTTCAGGTCTGAGGAGTCCAATCAGTGCATCATTTCAACCATTTTATCCCAGCGTAAATTCAACAATGACTGAGATAGCAGGGGGAGGGGGTTACGAAACCAAAGCTCAAGACCCTGGCCGTAAACAGATGAAGCAGATGGCTTGGATCTTCAGGCCTGATTAGTCGCCATCAATGACCACAATTTGTCAGGAGAAGGGCAATTTTGTTTGAGGCCTTTTCTGGATCAGTGCAGCATCTTGTATCTTGGCGGTTTACTCATTAAATTATTGTTGACGCCACACGATACTTTGGGACTGTCCAGGAAAAGGAAACAAAGGAAACACACTACAAAGGAAACAAGTGACTAAACGTTTTGCTTAATTGTGAAACACCAAGTGTTTGCAACCCCCATCCAAACTCTGTCAAAATATGTCTAACTAAGAAACGTTATTTTTTCGGATCAAAACCTGGGAAGGTAGACATCCAAATATTATTTATTCCCCATGCACGACAAAGCGAGTGTGTAAATGTCAGTAAAACGATATCCACAAATTATCTCATAAATGTAAGGAACTGGGCTGTGTACATGTACGTGGACAGTTTCGTAGTGGCATCACTGTTTTCAAGCAAATGTTTACCAACGATAGGCGTACATTTATCCCCCTTTCACTGTGACTATCCGTCGATAAAATCTAGCATCTCCTTGGTCCAAAGCATCTTATCTCTGTCACTGGACACTAACGAGGTTACTAGAGTAATAGGGATAAAGTCGGCGCTTAACGTAGTTAGTATCGAGCTGTGGATGGAACTAACAAAATTCGCCAGTATCGAAGTATGGTTTAGAATTTGGTATGAAACAGAATGCGGGTATGGTGTCGCATCTTTCAACGGTGAGGGGTGCACTGACGTCAGTCCCAACATTTTTATGTTCCTTAAACATAGCTGGCCAATGATCCGTCTCGCATTTTTACCAAACAATTCTCGGAGACAAGAAGTTATTCCCCAGTTGAGAATTGACCACAGCGCCTTCACTGACACCACTTCCCCAGAGTTTTACTGAGATGTCTCCACCAAGCCCTTAAATCTTTACACCGAAAGCCTCTCAACTAAACTCAATGTTTAAAAAGCAAACCTTTTCAGGGGGAATAACAAACCTTTATTCGGCCGTTTCATCCAAATGCATATTTTCATTGTGTGTCTCGCGCCCGCATATAGATAGGCCAACAATGCAAAAAAATAGTTCAATTGGCCCTACGCCTTTCTGCAAGCAGCGAAGGTTTTATGATTTAGTTCCTTATGCAGAAGGACCATTGTAGGGTAACATTTCTGTTAAACAACGTAGTCAATATGACTTGTACAAAATAAATTCTAAGGAAATCCCATACCATCAAAAAGTGACCAACAGAAGCAGTAAAGCGCAAAGAAAAGTACCACTAAATCTTACTAAGACTATTCATATAGTCATGCACTTTTTGAGAATAGGGTGTTTGAGGCTTCTTCCCAAGAAAACCCAAAACCTAAATTTCACACATGAAACGATTTTTTTTCAGTTTAAAACCGTCACTTATGGAAAATGTGTGTACATTGGTAAAACAGTTAATAAGAACGTTAGTCGACGGTTTTGCCTAACAACTTATCAATGCACAAAATTGAAAGAAAAGCAAACTATGAAGGCAAGGCTCAGCTCATTCACCTAGATGTTAAATACCTTTTACTCTAAAATTAAAACCGTACACGTAGATCGCACACAATGATTCTGCATGACGTCTGCACTACTGGATGTTGTTAAAACTGTGGTTTTTAAAAATGACATGAAGCGACGTAGTTTTTGAGCGTGTTTGCCTTGTAATGTTTAATGGCAAAACAACAGCTCATCCAGTGGAATGCGATAGCACCATACAAGATGCCAAGAAGGTGAATGTGTGCTCCGGTTTTTCAAACCTTTAAATAATCCTTTGATACCCCCAATAACTCGATATGGGGACAACACACATGTCCAGACGCATGGGGGAGGGGATAAAAGACACCCACGCGTTTTGTGCTCCAAAATATCCCGGAACATAATCCTGACATCCGAGCAAATGTACGGAATGCTTTGTTGGAGCAGTGTGACGTTGGGTTGATGCATCCTAGTATATCCTTTTGCCTGGATGCCCACGAGACAGAGTCGTGGACAATGGTGGGGGCCAGAGAATAAGGAACAGGGGGTCATCTGGTTTCACCCACATCAAAGCTCACTGATCAACCGCCGTATCAAGCTACCGTCTCCCCTTGTCTCCAGCCTGGGATGCTCTCAATATTTATTCTCCTCGGGATTGAGAGGAGAGTGTCCTACATCCTCTCGCACAATGGGGGTGCATCTAAGGGAGTTTTTTTCCTTGTTCTTTTACAGCGGGAGTAAAAATACCGGAAGAGTATAAATTACTCCTTTGACGTGTGTTGAACATGGAAGGAGAGCCGGGACTGGGGTCTCTTTGTCAACCAAAACCACAAAAATAATCATGAACTTCATATAGGCTGCCGTCTTTAAACCCATGTGTACATAACCCGAACAAATATTTGTTCGCTGTGCTTAAGAGTATCAAAATAGTTCCATTTTCGACCCAATCTATCCAAAGATCCCTTGTTTGTTAACCGATAAAATTGTCACTAGGGCTGTAAAAGAAAATAAACAGGCAAGATTCAATTTCCCAAACGATCTGAATGAATTATTGAAATTTAAATTACAGAGGCCTCCTAATGTGCTCTTTAAGTATCAAACGGGTACTTGATTGCATGATAACTGCACGACAACCGTGAAGTGCAAAGTTTATATGAAAAAAAACACCAACTTTTTCCTTTTTTCCGAAAAATTCTAGTTAAGCGAACGTTGGCAATACCAGTCTTATGTTATGAACCCCGAGCTGGACGGAGAGAGGGCGCAATTTACTTAGCAAAGGAAGCTCCTTTGCTTGGAACTCAACATTGCCGGTTCGCTAAGGACTTGGTTCAAGTGCACGCTTGACGTTCGCATCGCTACCAACAAAAAAGAACACTCTCGACCAACGTGGCTCTTTTCAACCGATGAGGGGGTGCTTCTGCTCAGGGTAGATGACTGGCCAAAGATGAAACGCCTCTTTCGTACTTCAGGAGCTCGCGACAAAGGTCTCGTTGTTCTGGTCAAAGGTCCAAGACAGATTGGGGGTGTGGTATCTTTTTTAAATGTAACCCATCAACTGCACGGGGGGGGGCCTACTCAGAAAAGACTCAGGCGAACGTCACTGTCCCGGAATACGCATCATCGGTTGTACGGTACGGCTGTACGTGCAGCGAGCTAAATCTGGCCAATCACTGTCTAAACCAAAGAGATCATAATAGCAAAGCTACAGGTGTCACACCTATTATTTTAAGTTACGTAAATCTGGCTCCAGAACAGGGCGACATGTTCGCCGTCCGCTGCCATGTTGACGCGCACGCGATAACGCGGTTCAGTAAAGTTATAAGAAATATGGAAGGGCTGCGTAGCACCGTGATCAGAATATCGACAAGAACATAAGATCAAATTAGTGCTCTGAAATATTTGATGGTGGAGCTTTCGGTAACTGAGTACCTTCTTCAGGGCAAGCAGATTCAGTTCTGAATGAACGCGGAAAATCGACGTTCATTTCCCCTAGATGCAGCGTGGATTTTTCCGCGTTCATTCAGAACTGAATCTGCAGTGCCCTGAAGAAGGTACTCAGTTACCGAAAGCTCAGCAATCATATATTTCAGAGCACTGATTTAATCTTACATTCTAGTCGATATTCAGTAAAGTTCTACACCAACGAAGCGTTTTTTTTACGTCATCAATTCAGATGTACATCTCATCAGTGCACTTGTGCGCGTTTCACACGCACGCGTAGGCGTCCGTGAAGTTCCAAGTTGTTCGTGCGATCAGTCACCTCGTACTTATTGCTTATATCTATGGTCTCAATTCCACTGAGAATCTGCGCCATTCAGTACTGGCTTCGGCCGGGAATGACGCCTGTTAACGAAAGCCGTAGGCTTATGCACTTGCAGTGTCTTCACAGAGGAACGAGTGTTACTGTGCGAGGGGTCGCAGCCACAGTAGCAGCCTCGTTCCAGAACTCAATGAAGGGGGCTCTCCTAGAGCGCCCTCTGTCATAAGTTTAACGCATTGCCCACTTTCCAAACAACTATCATTATTATTCTCAGAACTTGGCATCAACAGGGGCTTCTTTGTTCCATAAAACTTAGATTTATTTTTAAAACAGTTGAAATGATGTAAAATCAAAGCAATTTGGAATGAACTATACATTCTCAATCATCCATGTCCTTTTTTTATTAATAAATCTCATGAATGACATTTCACAAATTCAAATTAAAGCTATATTTTCAACTTTTTAATATCAACACACTGCAAGAATTCCTACGATTTTTCATCTGTACCAAAAAAGGGGGAACTCTTGGCAACTTGTTTTTGATGTGCTAAATGTCAGGCTCATCTAAACCAAAAAAACTGCCCCAAAATATTCACAAGCTCTGTACCTTCAGGTACAAGTTACAGGTAATAAAATTGAGAGAAGACCTGGACATTTCCATCATTTGTAAACTTCAACTCTTTTGTCCACTTTAGATAACTTTAGTCTCTCAGTACCAACTCAAAAGGGCACTGGGTGTGTGGCGGGGTGGTTTGAAATCATCGGTAGGAAAACAATTGTTTCTAAAAACTGAATGGAATTGAAACTGGAATATTGCCAGTGCACTACTTGAGGATAAAATGAGCAGACTTTAATTTGACCATTTGGGTTGTAATCAGCAATGTAACTTATTTCAGCCATGTATGCCCACAGCTTTCAGCGTGGGTGTGAGAAATTAAAGACCAATGGAAACTATATTAAATTGACTCATCACAACAACAGAAGTGGTAGGACCTTTCCATGCGGTTGTCACGTGCAAGACAGATACGTTTACTGGCAAAGTTTAATATTAACACTACTGTTAACAGTCAACTGTCTTTTTTTTTACACTGACAGATTATCGCAGTGCACGTACTGGTCTCAGCTAAGGCTGAATTGATTGATTAATTTACTGATGCTGAACTCAGGTTACATTCTTCCTAATGTGAAATGTGTTGTCAAAATTCTGCACTTTGACCTCTGTTGAACGCAGAAATTTCTGATGGAGCGAAAAGGCCTTCAATTAGAATGAAAAGAATCTTGACAAGATTCCAATCTACATCTTGGCAGCATGACCAAGTTAGACCTTCAATCTAGCATTAAAATTTTGTCAGCGCGACAAGAGTTAGCTGTAGGTGCAACCATTCAACATGTTGCAGACTGACTCCTCCTTTTGGTTATCCTGAATCTTCCTGACTGCTCCTGTGAATTTTGCACGTCCCTCGGTTACATGGTTAGTGGGCAGTGATCAATAGACTGCCATTTTGTGAATCACCAGGGTCGTACCTTCGTGAGACTTCACTAAGACATTTCTGGGGAGAGATGCAAAGAAATTTCGAGAATAAACTTAACTTGAAATAAACACAACCTGACACTGGTTGGGCAGAGTGACTGTGCGAATGATAAATGTACCAATCTGCTGCT